GAGTACAAAATGCATTCTGAAGTAGTATCTATAAGAAGAGAGTTCAAAGAGATAGCTCTTTGAACTAATACAAAACTTACTTTGAAAAATAAATTTCTGCAATAGGGAGTAGTGATGGGCAAAACTGTTATTTTTAGATAACAGTTGGAACTGTTATAGTTATTTATAAAAAACAGCTTAAAATAACAGCTTAAAAATAACAGGTTTCTTTATTTTACTGCTAAATATCTGAAAGAGTATGAGGCGGTCACCGCCAGGCGTATAGTATTAACGCAGTTGCAAGTTGCAACAATGACGTGCTCGGTGGTAGTATTTCCAGGGTGTCAAAACATTTCTAAATATCGATTGTTATCTAAAATACCTCTCTAAAAACGGTGGTTGTTTACAAATAAGCGCTGTTTAAAAATTGCGATATAAAAAAAGCCAAAATTCCGCCACTCGTCTATACCTATACATTCCGATCTACCTACGCCCTGCCCCTCGATCCGCGTAGATTCTGAATTGAGTAGCAGTGTACAGGGTGCATCTCACTCGACGGGCGAGAAACTCTTAGTTATGATTTTACCATTTGCGGTCAAAAAATAGCAATATAAGAAAATGTGTAGTATATTCTTCATAAGTAAACCAACTACACGCTAGAGTTCGAATTTATTTTACACTTAAACTAGCGTGTACCCGCGACTTCATTCGCGTCGAATTAATGATTTCTAATGGTGATGATAAAGCAAAACAAGAATTTCCATTAACATACAGACTGGATAAAATTTTCCCACATGTGCCAAAAATAAGCATTAAACGTCGAGCAGTTTAAGCAGAATCGTGGTTAATCAATTACTCCACTTTTTGGAACACCCTGTATGATTTTTGAAAAAAAAATCAAAATATGTAAAAAAACAAAATAAATTATGCGTGTCCAGGCGTTTTCCCGAAAGACTAACCGTTTTTTAAATAACAAATATTGTAATATTTGAGGGGCGTTTTCACCCTGTTGGAATTTGAGATTCGAGAAACCCCTCCTTATCGAACCTCAACCCCACAGTCAATCCGTTTGCCAAAAATCAGCTTTAAACGTCAAGCAGCTTAAGCAGAATAGTGATTACTCAATGGTCATATTTTATGAAACACGCTGTATATATTTTTTAAAAATCTGAAAATATGTAAAACAACATAATAAAATATACGTGTTTTAAGAGTTTTTCCAAAAAACTCACCGGTTTTTAAATAAAAAATATTCTAATATTTGAGGGTAGTTTCACCCCTTTAGATTCTGAGTTTCGAAAAATCCCTTCTTATCGAACCTCTACACCCTAAAGTCAATCCGTTTTCCAAAAATCAGCTTTTTACGTCAAGGGCTTTAGCAGGATCGTGATTAATCAATGACCAGATTTTTCAAAACACCCTGTATACATTTTTAAAAAATCTTAAAATATTATTCTGAAAATTTTTCAGAATAAATAAATACCTAAATATTGAAACTTAATAAGTAAGTACTGAAACATACAGCGCCATAATATCTCGACCTCCGTCCGTTATGCTCGTAACAGGTTGAAAAACAATGTACTATAACAACTGATGCGAATAGGTTTCTGTCGCTACTCGGCGTTAAGGTAGCCAAAACAAAAAAAAAGTGTAGAAGTGTGGTACATCATTGTACTCAGGGTACCGAGTTTTTTCAAAACCTGGAATAAAAAATGCAGGTCCGTATTTAAAAAAATAAGTTGGCCTCTGTATCTCACAAACTATCAGCTAATTTGAAAATCTAAAAATACTATCAGATAGCCCTAATAAAGTGGCTATGGAAATATGCAATTAATTTTGTGATTTTCTAAAAAGAAATGACAGGAAAAAATAAAATTGATTTTCGAAAAAATCCGTTTTTTCAAAAAACTCAGTAATCCTTGAAATCTTTAAAACATTTTTTATGGCATCTTGGGTGAACATCCCAAAGCGCAACTTTGCCCCAATTTAACTATTTTCGTATCTATTACGTTTACCGAGATACCAATGCTAGTACCTCGAATTTGTAGCACCCTGTATATGATGGCGTTTTTTTGCAAGAGAAAAAATGTAGTAAATACTAGAAGGACCACTTTAGGAAAAAAATGTTTGTCGCTCGAGTTGGAAAATATTTATACTAAAATTTATGCGGGGGTGGGGGTAGTTTTCACCCTTCCCGTTCTTTTTCATGATTTTTGTAAAAGTCAACTGAAAACACTTAACAAAACATAGGCATCTCCAATCTCATTCAAATCGGAATAACAGAGTTCTTAAAATACCTTAAAAAACTGTTTTTTTTAAAGTTCTCTAACGAACAAACCAAGCACTTTTGTATCGAGGTAAATTGTGTATAATGAACTTATTTTGACTCCAAAAGTACATAGTAGTTCTATGCCTACGGAATATTTAGACGCTCTGTATATTTTATTCTACATTTAGTTAGAAACTCTAGATAAAGATTTATTTTTTAAAGTTTTTTTTAAACAGAGGAAATTGATATTAAACTCTGTATTAAATGCAAGCAATCCCCCACTTATCTCAAAAATTATTAAGAATTTTGTACCTACCTAATGTTTATTTGTTAGTTTTATTTTTTAGTAATCTTACAATTTTATTAAAACCAAGTTATAGTTTAAATATATAGTGTTTGTCTTATGAAGAACATTGATGATTATACAATCTGATTTAACTCTTCAATTGTATTACTCCTACTACCTTAGTTTATTAAGTTGAAATATTATTATTCTAATTATTTATTATTCTTAGTGCGGAATATAGAAAGAAAAATGTGTAATATATGACAATAAATTACCATTCAATTTTTTATACAGTTGACATGACTTGCATAATCTTGATCAGGTGATTACTTTACCCTACCCTAACTGAAGATATTCATTTTTTTTGTTTAGATAATATACAGGGCATCTGTAGCTCCTAGAATAAAAAACTTGTGAATTTTGTTTAAGTGCAAACCTAAAGTATGTACTAGAATGTATTTTAGGAAAATATTTTAACTTCTACAGGGTGGCCCCAAAAAGTGTCAGTGGATCGGGATGACTTTTTTTAAACGGAACACCCTGTATATTATTGCATTTTGGCTCCCCTTGAGATCACTTTGCACAATGCACAAGATATGAGTAAAATATATTTCGATAGTTTCAGAGATATTAATAAATAAATAAAAAATATAATATATTTTTCAGCCAATCTAAAAAAAAAAATGATTAAACATACAAGAACTGCCCTAAAATCAAAACTATATTAGGCATTTACTTACGATGGTCTGTATTAACTTTGCTATAAATATCGTAATCTTAAATCATACAGAGTGTTCAAAATTCTACGCCAAACTTTCTAAAATATAAAATAAATTTTCTTTGATTTTTTAAATATAACCCTGTATATTATTTCTTTAATAGATGGAGAATTAAAAAATGAACATTTTTTGCCATTAGACTATTTCAGAATTTTTAACAGTTCGCAAATATTCGCGGTTTTGTATTTCATATGGCATTTTCCACAGTAAACCTGTATCAAAGTCATCAATTGATTTTACCGTTGAAAGAGCCATATGAAAAAATAGTAGTATCTGCAAAGCCGTTAAAAATGTTGAAATACTTTAAATATAAAAAATGTTCATTTTTTAATTCTCCATCTACTAAAAAATAATATACAGGGTGTTTCATTAGAAAAAAAACCAAGAAAAATTATTTTATATTTTAGAAAGTTTGGCGTAGAATTTTGAGCACCCTGTATGATTTAAGATTACGATATGTATAGAAAAGTTAAGTAAAGTACTAAGTAAATACCTAATATAGTTATGAATCAGAACAGTTCTTGTATTTTTAATAAATTAAAAAAAAGGCTGAAAAAATATTTTATTTATTTATTTATTAATATCTCTGAAACTATCAACATACATATTTAAAAATATCTTAATATTATGGAAAGTGATAAAAAGAAAGCCAAAAATGCAATAACATACAGGGTGTTTTATTTGAAAAAAATAATCCCGATTCACTCACACTTTTTTGAGCCAGTCTGTAAAGGTTAAATTATTTTTCTGGAATACATCCTAATACATACTTTAGATTTGGACTTAAAAAAAATCATAAGTTTTTTATGTCAGAAGCCCTTAGTTCTGTCTAGTTAAGTATAACAGATGCCTGCTGGAACTCTGTAACTACAGTTTAAAGAATATAAATATATACAGTTGGCTCACTCTAAGGAATTCTATTGTTATTTTGACTTCAAAGGCGGCTCGAGGTGACAAAAAATTTGTACGTTTACCGGGTGCAGCGGAAGTGCTATTTTATCAGTCAGAACGCTGGCCGTATACGAGGGATCAACTAAAAATACTAAGGAATTTTAATATAGCAAGTAGAAAAATAAAAATACAGTACTAGTTTTATTGATTGACAGTTTTAGGCGTCTTTAATAATTGATCAATATTTATTTACTTTCTTCTTATTATTATTTAATAAGATATCTCATAAACCGCAAATTCTAATACGGTTATGATATTGTTCTGGTGTATACTTTTCATATCTGTGGGATCCTATAAATCCTAAGGCACTTTTCCAGGCTCCACACCTACAAGTTATTTTCCTTATCAGACTCTACTTATACATATTATGGTGAATACATTAATATTAAAATATTAGATATATTATTCTATCCTAATTCTTTGGAATATGGAATTGTCAATAGGGGAGTTATTATTAATAATTATTATGGAAACCCCATATGAAAAATGTATTCTAAATAAATATAATAAGTTAATTTTTTTAATATATATCTACATATAATAATATATTTGCATATTATATTATTTTTGCACATTATATATTTATATTCTTTAAACTGTGCTGTAACTAAATAGCGATCGGTAGCGATAAAGAATACTGACCTTGGCCGTGCAAACTAAATGAAGAACAAGTGATATTATCTACCCTACTCTAGTATCAAATTTTACATATTAATCGTTGATATTTTTTTTTCAGGAAAAATTGAAAACCTCTCCAAAAACGTACAAATAGGCAACTGTAACAAACCACCTTGTAGATTAAGAAAAAACACCAAAATACCTTTGAGCTTTAAATTTCAAGCAGGTAAATAATATTATGTGCGAAATTTTTCCAAATAAATATTTAGAAATGAAAAAATATATGTATATCCCTCTGTACATCTTCTAATTGTTAAAACGTTAAAATTATTATTTATTTTAAAAATAAATTTAAAATAGAAGAAAATAACATATTTTTTAAATATGTTTTTATGACAATTTTCAGATTACCATTTAATTTACTTCATATGTCCAGTAATAAAATATGTAGTATCTAATAATTATTATATGTTATAATTACAACCTGTATTCGAAAAAAATATATAATTAAATAATTTTAAGGTAATTATTTTTATTAAATTTGTTCTCCATGTTATTAATAACTATTTTCTGAATGTCTTATTTTTATTTCGCAAAATAATATTAGATGGCAATAATAATAATAATAATAATCTTTTATAATCCAATAGCGTGGATTGGCTATAAAAAGGCCTTTGATAGTGTGCCACACTCATGGCTTCTAAGGGTACTGAACATATATAAAATTAATCAGGCAGTCAAAATGTGCCTACACCAACTAATGTACCACTGGAGAACAACACTATACATACAGGCGGAAACAAAATCTTACAACACGGAAGAAATAAAAATAAAATGTGGCATTTTTCAGGGAGACTCCTTAAGTCCCATATGGTTCTGTCTATCATTGAACCCTCTTAGCTACTTATTAAACAAATGTGAGATGGGATATATGCTTAACAAACAATCTAATGCTAAGATCAGTCATTTATTTTATATGGATGACTTAAAGTTGTATGCACCCAATCCCGAAAACCTACAAGCTAGCTAGAAAGGAAACCAAGGAACAGTTTAAGAACGAACTGATAAGACGTGTCAGAATCATATTGGCAATTAAACTTACATCAAAGAATTTATTTACGGCACTAAACACCTGGGCTATACCTAGTATTGTGTACTCATTTGGTGTTTTGAAATGGACCCCAACAGACCTGAGAGGCATTGACACAAAAATCAGGACTCTGTTAACAAAATATCGATACCACGATATGACTGGACGAAAGTCCAGTGTGAACCGCGTATATATACCAAGGTCAAGAGGCGGAAGAGGCCTTCTAAATGTAGAAAATTGCTACAATATACAAGTTCAGAAACTGGGGAACTACTTCTTGAGTAACAACTTACCGCTTCACCGTACCCTCCGAGATATTGACCAAAACTATTCCCCTCTTGACTTGATGAACCCTAACAGCCCAACTCTACGAAATTGGACGGAAATGGAAGAAGAGTGGGCCAGTAAAACTCTCCATGGCAGGTATAGAGCAAACTTAAAAAATACCACAATTAGTATGCTGGATTCAAATACTTACCTAAAAGCGGGTTACCTGTTCCCAGAAACCGAAGGAAGTATACTGGCAATACAAGATCAAGTTGTCCCGACACTGAACTATAGGAAATATGTCTTGAAGGAGAGAGTTGAAAGTGACATGATGAAATGGGAAAAATATACCATCAAGCTATAGCACTGGGAACTGGGCTAATGGAAGAAGGAATAGAATGGTACAAGTATACCCAAAGGATATTCTGGAGAATGCTGAATATAAATTATACTGGAACATCACAATTATTACAGACCGATCTGTCCAGCATAATCGCCCTGATATGGTGCTTTTTAAGAAGAAAGAGGAGGAAGCCACAATAATAGATTTTATAACACCATTAGACGAAAACGTCCAAACAGCATACCTAGAAAAGAAACAAAAATACGAAGAACTGTCATCTGAACTTAGACAGTTATACAAATTAAAACAAACAAAAATCTTACCTCTAGTGATATCCGTCAATGGCTTAATACATCAGCAAACTGTGCGAGATACTAAAGATTTGGGACTATCGCCAAATGTTTTATCCACCGCTCAAAAAGCTGTAATTCTGGGAACTGCACGCATAGTCAGATCGATCCTTTACGCGAACTAGAGACTGCCTTGGTTAATAACCCGGCTATCTCTCCAAGAACCCTGAAAGGTGATTAAAAAAAAATCTTTTATTATCGATCAATTTTATATCTATGTATAGGGTGATTCACAGCGATTAGGTTACACGTTTATGGATTGGATTTTACATAGTAAAAGTATACCTGCATCTATTTAAAATATTATCAGTGTTACAGAGTGTTGCCGGAACATTTTAAAAGTGATATCATCTTTGTTATTTTAAATTCAACCCTATGTATACCAAAAAAAAAAAGATTAATAAAATTTTTTCACCAATCAATATATCATGTTCCTATGCCTAAACCGATTTTTTAAGTAGAGCAAATATAAAAATGAATAATTCTATTATTATAGTTTCATTTTAAGAATTTCGATACCATGACAATGCTAGAAATTTAGCGAGTAAAGTCTAAAGGTACATTCCGGCTGAGAGCGTCGAGCGTCGGGTCGCGTTTGAGTCGCGTCTAGGCGTTCATATCTGTTCATATAGATACTGTTTTTTACATTTCTAGTTTGTAAAATGGCTTTAAAGAGAGCAGTTTATTTAATTTTTGTATTACAAGTGCCATATTCTGCAGTTAAATAATATACAAAAAAGTTGGAGAACCTACCTGAGAGAGTTAAATAAAGATATTATAAAAATTTCAAAAATTTTGAATAGAGATAAGATATAATTACTTTAAATAGCTGATTACGAACATTTATATTTCTATATTGTAACAATTTTGCGTTCCAAAGTCTTGCCTGGCCTTGGATGACTTCGAACCACCGGACGCTACAAATCTCGCCAAAAAACTATTTAAATTAAACTCGACGACCGACGCTACGCTCAGTGGACGCTAGCTCAACGCCAAACGCGACGCTGTCTGCCTGAACGGTCTAATGTTACAGGAATTGATTCCATTTTGTGGCGACGCAAACGCAACGCTCGACGCTCTCAGCCTGAATGTACCTTAATTGATATATAAATGTACCTTATTGATATATAATATAATATATAAAATATAAAATTTGAAGATTTGTCACGAAACAACTATATTAGAATTATTATCGTTTAAATGAACTGAAACAAGAAGGTTTAGGTATAGGAACATGATATATGGGTAAAAAGCAATTTTAATTTTGTTTCGATTTTTAAATAATATACGCATAGGCTTAAATTAATATAACAATGATTTTATAACAAACGAAATTAAATATTTGTTTTGATCACCCTGTTCAATATCCAATCGGTTGACATAGACAGATAGAATATGTCACAAAACCTCCCCCTTTAGAATTTTGACTTATATGTCATGAAATGAAAGTAAAAGAAACGCACCCTTGAGTTTGTTCGCGCACTAAATTTATGAAACAGCAATCCCTATGTATCTACAGGGTGGCGCACCTCATTCGCCTCGGTTGATTATACGAAAACGGAAAGATGTAGAAACAAAATATTTTATGGGTATATGTGGGAAGGCAATGTGCATAATTTAAAATTATTTTGAAATGTACAGGGTGTGTCAGAACTAAGATCCATACCAAAGTTATATATTTTTTCTTATGGAACACCCGGTATTTTATTTCATTTTTGGATTCTTGGACATACAATAAGGCATTTATTATAAGGGTTTAATATGTTTAAAAGCTTTGATTTTTGAGATATTTAAAGATATTTAAATATGCATGCTATTATAAAAAGTTTCTCAACACCCTGTACATTACTTTTCAGAGTTAGTTCTTATTATGTGGACTTTTAAGCCAGAGAAATAAACTTTACTAAAAAATTTGTATGCTTCAAAAAATGTATACAGGGGTATGAAAAATTGCTGGTCTATTTTAAATATTTATTTTACATAAAAACTTCGTTATTTCAAATGCAACACCATGTATATTTTAAAATAAGTCGAAGCAGATTTAAATGCTCTTTCAAACTATATTGGGGTTTCCTATACCTATCTGTCTCAGATTTTGAATAAAAAGCAATTTTTCAATAAAATGGCAATCAAGCTGGCTGGTGTAACCAATTTACTAGTGACAGTTAGTAGTTATTTTCAAATTCGACATTAGTTTATAGATTTTATTTAAATTTATAACAGTTTTATTTAATTTACCTACAGTAGTTCAATAAGTAAGTATTTATTATTTTATCAAGAAAAACGAAGAAGTAGTTGTTTGATTTATATTAGGATCACTTGTAAATATATTGGATTTTCTAGAAAAGAACCAATTAAGGCAAATTCATTTTGATCCAATGACAGGTTTCGGCATAAAAGTTTTTTCATATACCACACTATCAGCTCTGCGAAATAGGAAAAGTAGTTTTTCAAATAAACGTTTGTCAAGAAAATTCCTATTTGGATATCTTTGGGCATAAACCCTTCAGACCAACAAGCAATTTTCTTGACAAAATAAAATCATTAGTAACATATTTATCCATTCCTTCCTCTATCGCCAGCAGATACCTACTGCTTTATTTTTCTTGATAAAATAATAAATACTTACTTATTGAACTACTGTAGGTAAATTAAATAAAACTGTTATAAATTTAAATAAAATCTATAAACTAATGTCGAATTTGAAAATAACTACTAACTGTCACTAGTAAATTGGTTACACCAGCCAGCTTGATTGCCATTTTATTGAAAAATTGCTTTTTATTCAAAATCTGAGCCAGATAGGTATAGGAAACCCTAATATAGTTTGAAAGAGCATTTAAATCTGCTTCAACATATTTTAAAATATATATAGTGTTGCTGTTGAAATAACAAAGTTTTATGTAAAATAAATATTTCAATTAGACCAGCGATTTTTGATACCCCTGTATACATTTAAGCAAGCAATCAAATTTTTTAGTAAAGTTTATTTCTCTGGTTTAAAAGTCAGCTCAAAAGTTAATTCTGAAAAGTAATGTACAAGGTGTTGACAAACTTTTTTATTATAGCATGCATATTTAAATATCTTAAAATATCTTCACAGCCAAAGCTTTTAGACATATTGAACCTTTATAATAAATGCCTTATTTTATGCCCAAGAATCCAAAAATGAAATAAAATGCCGGGTGTTCCATAAAAAAATATAATTTTGGTATGGATCTTAGTTCTGACACACCCTGTACATTTGAAAATAATGTTAAATTATGCACATTACCTCTCTACATATACCCATAAAAATTTTGTTTCTACATCTTTCCGTTTTCGTATAATCAACCGAGGCGAATGAGATGCGCCACCCTGTAGATACAGGGTGTAGAAGTTTCATTTTTATTTCGATTTTTTCCAAATAATTTCTGAAGTAACGTCAATATTTGGATGAAAATTGATGTCTGGTAGTTTTTTGACATGAGAAATTTGATTTTGATGTTAATATGACTCCTATTTGTAGGGGGCGCCTACATGTGTTTTAACTGTTTTGAAGAATAACTTTTTTTCTCTCCGTACCTGTATAAAACTACTGAGTGAAAAAATGCACATTTCCGTGACTTTATACGTAAAAAATGTCTCTTGGTAAAAATCTCGACGAGCAACCGTTCTCAAGATATTTAGAATGGAAATAGTCAATACATCTCATTATTGACAAAAAATAAACATGTTGAGTAGATAGTTATTTGACTGAAATGATAAATTTGATAACATTTTATTTTTTTATATTTAATAATAATTTTTTCTTCGAAAAAACGATGATAAATATTTCTGTTGAACTTTTGACACAAAAGCATTTCAAATTTATGATTTCAGTACAACTATTTAGTCAACATGTTTAATTTATGTCAATGATGACAGGTATTGATAATTTGGATTCCAAATATCTCGAGAACCATTATTCGTAGCGATTTTTACCAAGAGACTTTCTTTACGTAGAAACGTCGTAAATGCATATATATTTTTTTATTTTATATTTATTTTTACTCTTCAAACCAGCTAAAAAAATATGTCGCTGGCGCCCTCTACAATTAGGAGTCATATTGACATCTAAATCAAGTTTCTCATGTCCAAAAACCCCCAGACACTAATTTTGATTCGAATATTGACGTTACTTCAAAAATTACCTCCGAAACTAATCATTTTAGGACATACATTTCTACGAACTTTATTATTTATTTTTATCTGCAGAATATGCAAATGCTGGCAAAGTTTCCGTATTCCGGAATACAGTTCGGACCACCCTGTATAACATATAATTTAATTTTAATACCTAGACCTATTTTGTCACAATAATTTTTTTTATATCAATACCCGATCGAACGTTTATAAAAATAAAACAATTACTGATATTACAAATTAATGATGTATTTTACATACTGAAAAAAAAACCTACAAAACAATTCGAATCTTTCCGGGGATTTGGAAAACGAAAAAAACTGCCATTTTGTTGTCGCAATTAGGAACGCAACAGTTTTTCGCAGGTTTGCGTTCTCGGTCGAAAAAAGCCATTGCAATTAAATATGAATAATTAAAATAAAATATACTTGGTAAAATAAGTACAAACATCTACACTACACCAGTAATTAATGAGGAAATTGCCAAAATCACACACCGAATATTCATAAAACACACCTAAATAAAAATATTGACATATTTAAAAAACAAATGAATATTTGTTAATTTTTTAATGACTAGCAGCGCCTCTAGTGTTTGTTCGTATAGTACAGCTTTTACTTCCAGTCATTGCAATTACAGAAAATGTTCTAAAGGGGGATGTTTTGTGCTCTAACAGCGCTTTCAGATGGAGCGGAGCGTCCGCGCTGTTTTTGTGCTGCTTGTTTTTTTCAAGATAGCCGTCAGACGAAATCATCCGGACGGAGTATACGCGACCCATGTGAAATTGTTCATTTAAACTCATGGAACTCGCGGACGGTCCGCGCGGACCCTCTGCTCCATCTGAAAGCGCTGTGAAAGCACTGTAAATCAATTGAAAAAAAACTTCTATATGATGCGGACATTATTTATGTCACTGAAGTAATCTTTAAACGGTCTCTACACTACTCGCGAAGTAGGTCAAGGTCGAATAAAGGTTCATTCTCACTATACCTTCCGTTTCCATTCCATATCCATTCCATATCCGCTCCGTATTTTTTATTGTATTGACGCCATACGTAAGCCTCCGTTCTGTATCAGTTCCATACATTTTATTGTACAATTTATATCATTACCAAAGTTTTATTTTAAAAATTTGTATCTTTTGAAAAAGGTAATAGATTTAATTAAGAGGTGAAACAAATAATATCTGCAAAAAATATCTGCAAAATGTTAACAGAACTGATAGAAATGTAAGAACTTGACAACGCTGTTACCGATACGCTTCAGTCCGTCCGTCAAAAAACTGTATGGAAGGAAAGGATATGGAACGGAAGGGAAACGGAACGGATAGTGTGCATTGTCCTATTCATTTACATGATGTAATATTTTATTTAAATGGAAGGGAAACGGAAGGGAGCTGATATGGAAGGTATAGTGAGAATCAAGTTTAATAGATACTTGTCTAACTTTGCCTCGTCTCGACTTATTTTAATGAGACGAAATAATCCTCTTCACTATTTGACTAGTACTTCGGCTTACTTCGCGATCATATACCTATTTATATATGCTGTTTTAGATCATATACCTATTTATTATATTTACCGTTAAAAAATAAAAATAATATTGTTTGTTATTGTAGGTCCTGAAATCAAGAGCTTAACTCAACAAGTCAATGCCAATATCGTCGGTATCCCGTTCCCATTCGTTGGTGTAGATGGTACATCAGTTTGCGATAAAATATACGAAGAAGACGGTACTACCAAAAACAATTGTCAGTTCGAGAAAGGAAAAACATACGTATACAAAAACGAAATTGACGTTTTGCAGATATACCCAAGGGTACGAATGTTGACTTTCGTTTTTCTAAAACTCAGTCTTTTGACTGATTTATTGTGAGTGAAAGACGGTAAAGGTGTGTTTACACGTTTCATATTGCTAGCACAGATTATATAACAGTATGTCCCCGGATTGTCTTTACAAGAGGAAAACTCAAGGGGAAAAAAACATTCCCATTTTGAGAAAAGTACATTATTCATAAAAATTTTTGCTTCTTCTAAAATGGTTAATACCGTTTATACTTTTACACATAATATATTTTTCCATACCGTTTTAGAGAAAATTAAAAAAAAAAGTCCTAAAAATCAAAAGGCGTTTCTATGGTAATAAAATTTCGATTTCATTCTTTGACGGGAGATTATTATTAATTTAGATTAACGTCATATTTTTGCTGTTGTTAAAGTAACACATTTTCCGATAACTGTATTTAACCATCTGTATTTCCGTGTATTTTCCGATAACTTTCCGTAGAATTGAACTAAATAAATTTTGTGCTTCCTTAACATTTTAGAGCAGTTAAATATGACGTTAATTAAAGTTCCCACAATAACAATCTATCAAAGAATGAAAACGAAATTATATTACCATAGAAATGCATTTTGATTTTAGGACTTTCAGGATAAAATTCAGCAATATTTTCGTGTTTTTTTTTCATTTTGTCTAAAACGGTATGGAAATATGTAAAAGTATAAACGGTACGAAGAATTCATTTTTCTCAAAATGTTAATAATAAAAAAGTTTTTCTTCTTATAAAGACAATGCGGGGACATACTGTAGAATGCTACCTGTGTTGCCAGTTGGTCTAGACATCTTTCGTTAATCTCGTAAAAAATATGTCCATAAAATCACAACTAGTTGTTAGAGACGTATATTTAAATTATGATGTTTACATTACCGCTAGATGCAACAGTTATAAGGTATAACTTTAACAACAAATTTTACATAACTATACCAGGAAGTGAAGGCTAGAGAAAAGGTGTACCCTTTCAAGCTGAGGTACCCTGGTATACAGACGGCTCAAGAACGTCGGAAGACGTAGGAGCTGGAATTAGTTGGGTCGAAACAAGGAATATCTGGTCCATGGTAAGCCTATCTAAGGATGCCACAACTCCATGTGGAATTAACGGCAATCCACTATTGTGCAGAAAAAATAATAAGGCAGCATCGTTCGGTGGCCATCTTCAAAGACAGCCAACCAACGCTAAAGGCATTCTATCTTCAGTCTGTGAGATGTTGGATTTCATTCGACCATCTCATAGGCGATCGGCCTCTACTTCTCTTTCCCTCTACTTCTCCCAGCACTATAAGCCTGTCTATATCGTCATTTCTTCTTCTAGCCATGCACGTGTCCAAAAAACTGCAACACCTTCTTCATGCATAATGATGATAGTCTGGTGATTACACTTAACTCTTCCAGTATCAATTGATTTGTTTTCCTCGCGGTGTAGGGGATTCTAAGCAATATCCTGTAGGCACCACGTTTAAAGGAATCAATATATTTGCGTTCTTTAACTCTAAGTGTCCACGATTTTGAGCCGTATGAGAAGATTGAACAGACCAACGTTCGGACCAGATTGATTTTAGCGGTTTTGGTTATGATCTTTTCAATATTTTGGTAAGTCTCAGCATCGCATTCTTGACCAAAAATTCTTCTTCTAACTTCTACACATCCACCCATGTTGCTTATTATTGACCCCAGATATGTAAAGCTGTTTATCCTTTTACAACGTTAGGCTTATCAACTATCATTAGTTTTGTTTTGGTTCTGTTTATTGTTAGACCAAATTTTCCACTCTCTCGCTCTAGTCTGTTTAAGAGAACCGCCAGTTTGGGATTGTATGTGTGTTCTAAATAACTTGGGTAAGCGTAGCAATGTTAGTTAGCCTGGGTACCAGGACACGAGGATCACAAGGGTAACGAAAAGGCAGATGAAATGACCAAGCAAGGTTCATCATTCATAGGCCCAGACGCCTACTGCGGCGTTACAAAAGCAGCCACGAGAATAGCTACAGAACGATGAGTGGTCAACAAATGTCTAGAAGGGTGGAGAAACTCACCGGGGCAGAGACGAACGAAAAAGTTTATGGTAGAACATTCTAAAATTCACGGCAGACCTGATAAGCAAAGACAGATAGATAGTAAAAACTGTAATGGGTCTACTAACAGGCCACTGTTAGCTGAATAGGCATCTAAAGCTAATGGGATTGACGGTCGAAAATATGTACAGGTTCTGTCAATCTGAGGAAGAAACTTGTGGAGCGTCAAATTTTACATAGAAACGACCTTATACTTTTTTTGTTCAGATGAAAATTAACCGAGATAGGTTGGCTAGAAGCTTGGGGATGACATTAGAAATTTAAAAAAAATATAAGTTGCTGAAAAATTCATAGAGGTATTATGGATATAATATCCAAAAAATCCTATATGAGTATTTCGCCACTGCAAGAAAATCTATAAAATAAAATAGTTAATTTTTGTAAACACTGCTGCGTTAATCCAAACGGAACCTACTTGTCAGCAGTTAAGTTTACAGATATACAAAATTGCCAAATGAATAAAAAAATGCTTAACATTTCGGAAAGTTTATTTCTTTCTGTCGTCGGAAGCAAAAAAAAATACAAAAAAATAAAGAAAAAAACTATTTAAAATATTTAAATTCAACTATTCGAGAACACTTTAGTTTTTTAAAACAGATACATCTACAAAAACCGTTGACGTTCCGTTAAAATGACATTATATCAAGTTAAACTTCAAAATTAACAAATACTACCTAATAACAATTACTTAATAAGGTAAAACCAAAAAGCCCCAAACTTTCTGTATAATTATTTTTAATTTTTACCTATCTTATGTTTATTTATGTTATGTTCTTTAAAATCAAAGGAGCGATTATCATACATTACTAACATCAAATCTACAGATGCATGAGCAATACATTTATTTTTATTAGAATGTATTAAAAAAACCTCCTTTATTTTTCTTTTAGAGGCTATCGCTTCTTTCATTATAATTTTGGCGTTATTAAAATTTATTGTTGTTATTATTTTAATGCTGACAAATCTAAGATTTGTGAAAATCTCCCTTTTTAAATAATCTTTATGTTCTTTAATTCGAACACTTAGGGGTCTAGATGTTTCACCAATTTTTTTCATATAGGTATTTTACGCTTTTATTCAATTCGCTTGGAAAATTATAAATTCCAATTAAGATTTTTTTTAAATTCACCCCGAGGGGTGAAAGATATAAATAGTGTTTTTTTTCAAACGTCACAAAAGTATTAATTTTAACGCCAAGGCATAAAAGCGAAGCACCTTTACGCCTAAGTACAAAAGTACGAAAATATATTATTAAACTGACATGAAGTGTCAAATTCAAGGAGCCTAACCGTAGTTTCTCGTATATAATTGCATAAAAGGTATTACTTTTAAATCTTTCCATTTTATTTGGAACGTTTGAAATTGCCTAAAAAAATATTTGTGGCGTTTGAATAAAATAGCATGTTCTATTCAGAGTAAAAATGACTTTTTGTAGCTCGCCTGTATGTCAACGTACGGCCTCGCTCCAAAGAGTGTCACTTTTACTCCTATTAAAACAATACTCTATTTTTTTAAATTTCAGAGAAACGGTAAGGACTTTGAAACAAATGTTCCAATAAAAGCTGTCCCTAGCTTCTAGCCATCCTATCTCACTTAATTTTGATTTGAGAAAAAAAGTATACAGACCATTTTTATGAAAAATTGGACGCTCTATAACTTTTATTTGAACTTTTTTTCTAGTCCTAAACGTTTCTCAGAAATTTTGAAAAAATAATTTTTGGTGAATTTAAAAAAAATATTTTACAATTCGTTTTTAGATCTTTTTACTTTGGAAGATTATTATATCAAAAATTCAAGTTTTTACCAAAACTACGTATCTAAGGGCCTATTTTCTTGGACTATAAACCATAATTTTTTTGTGTAGTATTTAAAAAATTAAATGATTTTCTTGATAACAAGAAAGCTTTAGATTTCTCTTTCCGGAGATAATGTATGTAGGGAAAGTCATTCGTTAATATACCAACTTAGCTTGGTTTAAAAAATGTGTTAATGCTTTAAAAGTTGAAATATAAACCGCATAATTAAAAATGTAGACGCAAGTGATACTTGGAAATGTAAATGTTATATGCAATTGGGTAATTTTTTTATGTGTTCATTGTAATTATCTCCGAATTGCTTAGCAATTACATTGTCAGAGAAAAAAATATTAATAGGTGAGAAATTAAAATATTATTTATTATTATAACGATGGTTGATATGTATTTTTATGGTAGTAGTAAATAACACTGTACCAAAAAAAATGGATACAATGTTGATGATAATTATCGTTGCAAACTATAGATGCTATAGACTTAAAATTTAAGTTTCGAATTTGAAACGACCCGTGTGATCCTTGGCCCACGGCCACACATAAACACTTTTTTGCGTTTTTGCGTGTGAAGCGCTTTTGCGATTTTAGCGTTTGAAGCTTTTATTTCGATTTCTGTCGATTAAAAACACGCAAAAGAAGCGGCAGGTCTCCAGGTTCTATCAAGCTGTCGATTAGTAACGAAAAGGTCTTGGAATTTCCGGCCCGTTCAACAATCAATCCTTTGAGACAGGCACGGTCGAGATCAGCACCGTTAGCGTTGAAAAGACGAAGATGTAAGATATGCTCGGATCGATCGTTAAACGGGCCGGATATTCGACATAAACGCAATCTACTGCTATGCCATGGTCGGTGTAAAAATACATTATTTTTATTTGCCATTTATTTTAGGAATTTTAGGTTTTATTTGTGTATCCTCTCTTGTAGTAGTTTTGTGGTTACTTGTGTGTTATATCCACTATAACAAATTCCATTGGATCATAATAAACTCAAGTTATTTAATTGTACCACGTTGACGTCCAATATGGAATAGTGCAAATATTGTTCAGCGGCTGGGTTTAGATCTCGATAAAAAAACATATTGTACTCTTTTCCATTTT